TTTAAATATAACATTTTCATGTTGAAATATTAAATGATTGCAAAAATGAAATAAGCTACTTGTGACTGTCTTAATGAGTGAGTTGAATCAACCGATTCGTTTAAAAAGCTGATTAATTTAACTTTGCAAACGACCGTACATACTTATAGCCTGATTGAATCATTTGCTGGTCCGTGTAACGCTGAGGAACAAAACACTGTTGTTCGGAGACGCAGCGGTTCTGCTGTTGGTTATATTTTCTTTCTGACGGAGCAACACGGAATTTTGTGTCTGAAAGTTACTCTGTAAGTTGTTGTTTATTATACATTTGCGTTCAATTCAATTCGTGTGTCCTTCTTCTATGTGAAATAATCATAAATGCCAGTTTATGCTGTTTGATTGTGGCCTCGAAGGTTGTAGTTGTAAGCTGTAGCCCCGGCTGGCCCGTTTAGATCTTGCGTGCGCAGTGGAAAGAAATGCGGCTAATAATTTCTGAATTCTGACTGGCATATAACGAACAAATCAAACAAACGTAAACGGGCAAAGGCGGGGCCCATGGGCTGCAGCCCACTCAAGCCCAATGGTAAGTCCGGCCATGTATATATATAATGTGTGTGTGGGTGTGGACACGAGTTCTGCATTGTGACTCATAACCCATAACCACCTCACTACTTTCTACTTTCTCTTTCTCCTAGAGCTCAACTCAATGTACATCAACTGCTACAAGTTTTCTTGATTGTAAATTTGACATTGAAGTGATTTTGCTGTATAGAAGTTGTGTTGAGCCATTTACAGTTTTTTTTATTTTTTTTGATTGGTTTGGTACTATTTTCACAAGTAAGGTGTACATTTTCAAAACTCTTAGTACAAAACTTTAAACTGATCACATTTGTTACACCACTAGTCATTTTTTCAAAACATGATCTCATGATTTCATTGTAGTTGCACATATTTTCATGCCACATAATCATTGTTTCAAAACACAAGATCATTGTGATATGTATTGAGAACATTTGAATTAATCACCAAAACACAACAGTATGATCTTCTTTCAATTTAGTACTTTTAACAATCGGTTCATTCAAGAGCAAACAATGCAAGATTCATGTTTCAAATCACCTTTGTTGCTGAAATAATTACAGTAATACAGGCAATAACTGTCATGTTAGAAAATACACTTACATTACCTAACTTGCATATCTCACATAAAATCAATAATGTTTGTAAAAGTATTTATCCAGTGTGTTATCAAATGTTGTGATGAAGGTATGACATGGCCATAAGGTTTTGTGCTAGAACAGAGTTCACTGTCAATGCAGTAAATGTCCTCACTGTGCCATATGACTTGATCTATATTCTAACTGAATTTTTAAGATGAAGGGTGAGTTATAGTAATGTGAAGTCTTTGCCATGGTAATGCTTCTATATACAGTATCACATGGCATAATGTAATGTAAAATGCTGTATTTGATGCCATATGTCTCCCTTCTTCTGATACATCTCTGATCAGTTCCTCTCCCTTGTGTCCTGCTGTATGTTCACAAATAGCAAAACACACAGTTTTACAAACGAGGATGTCCTCAAAGGAAGGTTTTAGGTGATTTTGTCAAGTTTCCTCACTTCTGGGTACCAATTTGTCCCTAAAATATGGTTACAGTAAGTAGGCACACACACACACACACACACACAGGCTTTGACATTCTATAGGAGTAATGGTCTACCCCTACACTAACCCTACTCCTAAACCTACCCTTATGAAAATTTATTTTTTTCTCATTGGACCCAAAAAAGGACAATAATTTCAGATATTGCCATATACAGGTGCATCTCAATAAATTAGAATGTCGTGGAAAAGTACATTTATTTCAGTTTATATAGATGAAACACTTATTTTGTGTAGTGAAAAGGATATTTTGTGATTGTGTGTATTGTACTAACACAATTGAAAATATGCTTAAATGTTTGAAAAAAGTGCACTTTTGATGATCTGTTGAGATATTAGTACTAAGAGTTTTGAAAATTGACCAATTGCTTGTGAGTATTGCGCCAAAGCAATAAAAAAAAACTGTAAAGGGATAGTTCACCCAAAAATGAAAATTCAGTCATTAATTACTCACCCTCATGTCGTTTTAAAGATATTTTTGATGGAATCTGAGAGCTGTCTGACCCTGCATAGACCGCAATACAACTGAAATGTTCCCAAGTCCAGAAACGTAGCAAGGAGATCTGTAAAATAATCCATGTGACATCAGGTCTTCAACCGTAATTTTACAAAGCTACGAGAATACTTTTTGTGGAGCTGACACAGAACAGCATACACTGTTTACGTCCAGCTGATACTCTCCAAAATGGCACCAGGGTGACACGGAGGAGATGAATTGTTGAATAAAGTCTTTTTTTTCTTTTTCTTTTGCGCACAAAAAGTATTCTCGTAGCTTCGTATAATAGCGGTTGAACCACTGATGTCACATGGATTATTTTACAGATCTCCTTGCTACGTTTCTGGACTTGGGAACATTTCAGTTGTGTTGCTGTCTATGCAGGGTCAGACAGCTCTCAGATTCCATCAAAAATATCTTAATTTGTGTTCCGAAGATGAACGAAGGTCTTACGGGTTTGAAACGACATGAGGGTGAGTAATTAATGACAGTATTTTCATTTTTGGGTGAAGTAACCCTTTAAAGGGATACTTCACCCAAGAATGAAAATGTGTCAGTGAGGTTTTTCAAAGCATTTTCTTTTAAAGGATTAATTCACTTCCAGAATACAAATTTCATGATAATTTACTAACTAACTGCGTTGGCCACCATTGAAGTCCATTATATGGAGAAAAATCCTGGAATGTTTTCCTCAGAAACCTTCATTTCTTTTTGACTGAAGACAGAAAGACATGAACATCTTGGTTGACATGAGGGTGAGTAAATTATCAGGACATTTTCATTCTGGAAATGAACTAATCCTTTAAATTTCACAAAAGAAAGTCACACGGGTTTGGAACATGAGGGTGAGTAAATGATGCCAGAATTATTTTTTTTGGTGAACTAACCCTTTAATGTTCATTGTCTTGTTCGCTGTGTGTTTCAAAGTTTGTATAGCTTGTTCTAGTTGTTTGACTGCCTACCACCAGTCCAGAGATGACATGCCATGAACCAAGAAGGAACTCTTTTTTCATCTTTGTGCTCTGTCCAAAGTGCTCAGTCTTCCACTTTGTTCTGTTGTCATTAGCATGTATTTCATCTGCCAAATCTTAGTTTTGAATGCCACTGTGGGTCGGCTATCCTTTTTGCCACTTGTTTCTAAATTTGCTGCATAACTGAGTGGTCCATCTCATTCAGAAGACCTGCTGAAAGCACCTTTGCACCATTAGCTAATTTACTGCACTTTCTTTAGAAGTTGTTTCCCCCACCGCTGTGCCAGGATTTGTTAACGTTTTTGTTTAGTCAGTATTCCAGTAACACAGGCTAAC